GGCATGCAGTTGTAGGACACGCATTTCTCATCCCTAAGAGGGTGGGATCGAAAGAAGGGGAAATTCTGAATTGTCGAAGGTTTCTGAAAGCCAGTGAGTGCCCAAGGCAGAAATGCTGTTTCCACTTGGTGTCTTGTTTGTGAAGGCTTCAGCGATTTCAGGTGGAAGGATTGTGTGAGGGTTTAGATGATCCGATTGCATTGCCTGTAGCAGTGATCTGCAGGGATTCAGAGAGGCTTTCGCTGGTTTTGGAGGAGAGGTTTTCACTGACAGGTTTTTGAGGGGGAGCTTCTGCTCCTGGGTTGTGTCGTAGCATCACACGAGCCAGCAGCGTGCCCGGGGGCCAAGAAAGCCAACGGCCTCCTGGCTTGTGTCAGCACTGGTGTGGCCAGCAGGGACAGGGAGGTGACAGTCCCCTGTGCTCGGCACTGGGGAGGCCACACCTGGAGGGTTGTGTCCAGGTCTGGGCACCTCAATCCCAGAGAGATCTGGAGGGGCTGGAGCGAGGGCAGAGGAGGGCAACGAGGCTGGGGAAGGGCTGGAGAATCAATCCTGTGAGGAGCCAGGGAAGGAGCTGGGAGTGTTGAGGGTGAGGAGGAGGAGGCTGAGGGGAGCCCTCATCCCTCTCTGCAGCTCCTGACAGGACATTGCAGAGAGGCTGGGGCTGGGCTCTGCTCCCAGGGGATCAGGGACAGGACAAGAGGGAACGGCTGGAAACTGCCCCAGGGGAGGGTCAGGCTGGGCAGGAGGAGAAAATGTTTCCCAGCAAGAGTGGTGCGAGAGTGGAAGAGGCTGCCCAGGGAGGGGGGAGTCCCCATCCCTGGGGGGGTTTCAGGGCCGTTGGGATGAGCTGTGGGGGATGTGGGGTAGGGGAGAACTTTGTAGAGTTGGGCTGAGGGTTGGACTCGATGATCCCGAGGGGCTTTTCCAGCCTGAGGGACTCCGGGATTCTGTGATCTCGCATATGAAGGAGGGGCCAAGCCCCCGTGGGGTGCTGGCCAAGGATAAATGCACTTACTGCTAGAGATGGTGCACGGGCTCAGGGTGAGGTGTTTTTCACCTCTGACTTCTGAGATCCTACATTTTTTGAATTATTTATAATTAAAAACACAAGTTACCCCTTTGTTGGAAGTTAAAGTGACACAGAAATATCTGTTTCCTCTTTTTCCTGCCTTGTCACGGGGCTGTGACCACCACAGCCGGGTTGGACCAAGAGATCCGTTCTACAGCTGAAGGAGAAGGTTTCTCTCTTTCTTGTCCTTCCCGTTGTCCCCACTGGAGCTGCCTGGCTTAGTTATTTGTTATTTTCATGTTTTTAAGATTTCTCCTTCCTGATCGCAGCAGTTCCAGCAGCGGGGACGGCCGCGCTCATTCTGGCCGTGCGTTGGATGTAGGTGCTGCTGTTTGGAAGTGTGCTCTGTGTCAATGAGTGCTCAGGTGTTGGAAGAGTTTATTTTAGTTTTACCTCCAGGTTTTCTGCTGTGGGCCACGGAGGATTATTTTTTTTTTCAAGAAGCAACCTCAGAGTGGGTCTCAGCCCCTAGCGTGAGAGCAACAGCTCGATAGACGCGGACGGCGGTTCACTTGTCGTTAGCAGTTGTCTTGGAGGGCTGAGGATTGAAATTGGTCTCGGTCCTAGTAAAATGTAATAAATCGAGGTGTTTGGGGGTGCGGTCTGATGTTTGCACTGTACACAACCTCAGCCCAATGCTGAACGTGAGTGAGAACACGCTGAGTTTGCAGAGTGCGGCGGATCCGCTGCCGGTGTGAGGTCTTCAGGTTGAATTTCCAACACACTTGGGTGGGCGGCTCTTCATTCCCATCCTTTCTCGCCCAGGTCCCATAGGTAAAATCAGCCTTAACCTGCACATCCTCAAGCTGTTTCTTCAGAAGAAGATGCCAAAGGGTTAAACCTGGGTGTTAATCCCAGAGTCAGTCTCCATGTGACCTTTTGGCTGGAGGACTGGAATCTTAAACACTTTGTGCTCCAGTTAAAGTTTTGGCTCAGTGAGCAGCATTGTCAGGATTACATATTAATTTAAGGCATGCAAAACTATGGAATAAACGGGTTTGGACAGTGCCTTTCTTGGAGAGATATGATCTAGGCTCAGGAGGTGGATGAGGAGAGGAGGAGCTGCCCGAATTGTTGAATTGTTGAGGGTCGCAGATGGTTTGGGGCACGGCGAGGGGAGGCAGCGCTGTGCCGCGGGAGGCCGGCCGGCCTCTCCTCACCTGCCCTGCACGCGCCAGCTCCTGGTGCCTCCCAGCGCGTCTCCGGTTTCACGGGGGAAAGTGGAGCGGGAGATGAAGTGTCCGGCTTGGCGGGTCGGGTGCTGAGGAAACCAGCTTTTCCTTCATGAATAGGGATGAGAGGGCAGGAGGAGGAGGTTTGCTGTGGGACCTGCAAGCCCTGAGCTCTGGTGGAACATCCAAATAGTCGTGTCAGTCCCCTCCCTTCTCGTCACAGCTGCAAACTTATTTCTTGTGATTTTTTTTTTTTTTAATTCATTTTATCCTTTGGCATCATAGATGGATGAGAAGTTTTTCCCCTGGGAAAAGACACCCCAGACAGTTTGTCAAATGAAAAACCACATAGTGGCAGCTCTTGGATACCACAGATTTGACCTGCTGTTTCTCCACGCATAGATGGGGTTTAATTAGCTCCGTAACTTGCTCTTTACGTCCCAGCTTTGTTGCAGGTGGATTTGCAAGCTGTTAGCAATGCCGGAGAGCTTGTGCGGCTTAATCGCACAGAAAACTGCTGTTTTTCTCCCTTTGTTCCTTTTAAAAAAAATAAAAAATGTCCGTGGCTAAGAATAAATTTAAGACGCTAGCACTACAAAAAACGCTGCGCTCGCAAAATTTAAAAGTTCGGAGAATTTACAAGGGTGGTTCCTCTTGCACGTTGCAAAAGTGATGGGGGATTTTGTAGCTGTTACAGTTTTCGTTTGGCAATTTTTTTTAAAAGAGTAAAAAAAATACAAGGACACGGCGTGGCTAAACACAGGGAGGCTGCAGTAAGGTTGGGCTGCAACCATAATGAAAAAAGCAGATTTTAATCTGGCATGGCTTATTAAATTATAGTGATAACTTGGATTTTACTGGGATTGAATTTAGTTCTCCCTGGTTTTATTTGAAGATTGAGCCAGATTACAACTGACGTAAAACCTGTGGAAGATACCCGAGCTGTGGATTGGAGGGGCAGGAGAAAGCTTTATTTTGAACATTTTTATAGCATAGAGGTTCTTTATTTTAGTGTCTCACACTCAGTCTTCTCTGAAAAAGAAGTGGTTTTTTTTTTTTCTTTTTACCCATGAAAAGTGATTTGATTTAAATTTCTTGATGTGATAATGTGCTGGAAAAGTAGTTTGTGCTTTGGTGGTACCGTCAAGGTGAGCTTCATACCCCCTTGAAAGGATTTAGCTAATTTACACTGAACTGAAGTAGCATCTCGCGTAGGATTTTGCATGGAAAGGTTCACCAATAATTAAAAATGAAAAAAATTTACCTTGAAAACACAAGTAGTATCAGTTGAGGCAAATGGTGCTAATCCCAGTCTCGTATTTCCTGACATATTTCCACATTGGAAATAATCCATAGTTCCGTCTTCCCGTTGCTCTATAGATTCGTTCAAGTGGGGAGTTCTGTTTTTTTCCTTTACAAAGCAGACGTTGCTTTCATACGGCCCAGGAATTTTTACTCTTTTAGCTGATTCCTTGCAATCTGTTGCTGAGATGTAAAATGCCGTCACGGCACGTGCTGGGCTGCAGAAGCTCTTCGGAGGAGCACCTGAGAGCAATATTTCCCTGGCAGCATTTTGCCCATCATGCTGGACAACAGCCACAACTACCGAGGAACAATATTATTTCAAATCAGAGCGGTATTATATCAGATCAGCGGTTGAGGGGAGAATTTTTTTTTCATATTTAGTTAGGATTGGTGTTGAGGTCAATCGACGATGCATCGTCGCTTCCCAGCTTCTTCGGAAGCAAATGTTGAGGTTCTCTGTGGGAATTGTCTTGGGTACCTTGTCAAGGACAAAACTCTTTGGATGATAGCTCCAACCACTAAATAAAAATTTTAAAATTATCGCCCTGCATCAGGTGTGCTCAGTCCCTGGCAGGACAGCATCACAGTGCCCAAACCCCACTGCTACACGAGATCTCTGGGGTTATCGCGGCCTTTTTCCTGCTGCAGGAGGTTCCTGCAAGGTGGGAAGAGACTAGATACAAGGAAGAAGTTTTTTATGAGGGGGGCGAGGCCCTGGCACAGGCTGCCCAGAGAAGCTGTGGCTGCCCCCTCCCTGGAAGGGTTCAAGGCCAGGTTGGACGGGGCTTTGGGCAACCTGGGCTGGGGGAAGGTGGCCCTGAACATGGCAGGGGGTTGGACTAGATGGGCTTTAAGGTCCCTTCCAACCCAAACCATTTGGTGATTCCATGCTTCTAAGAGGATTGGTCTGATGAGGGAAGAGCAGGATGGGTGTTGAGTCTGGACCCTTCCAAGGACGGACTCTCTGCGCTTGCTGCTGGGGGGGACGGCGTGGGGACCAGTGTAATTAAAACCCACTTTGCCATCTAACAAATGCCATCGTTGTTTTAGTTGCTCATTAGTTAATTTTCTTCTAATGAGGTTCTGTTAACGTAATCATCTGACATTGGGGAAAAAGAAAGTGGGGAGGGGGGAGAACCCAAGTTAAAAAGAGCCTAATTAGCAAGTTAATTATAGCGAGCAGGGAAATGTTCTGGTTATATAAATAAGCTATTGTTATGCTTGCACAAGCCAGGCCACATTAAAAAACTGCCACTAACTGTGTAGAGGTCAGGCAAACGCTGTAATTCAATGTAAAACAGAAGTAGGGCTTGTTTGGCGGGACGCCTCATTAAGTCTTGGGGTCCTTTCCTGCCAAAAAAAAAAAAAAGGAGTCTGAAAATCCAAGTGGTTCCCCTTCCCTCCCTCCCTCCTTTCCTCCCTCCCTCCCTCTCCCTCCACCCCGGCGCTGAAACCAGAGCGGGCAGGATCGGGATCGGCGGGGCTGGGAGCTATAAATGGGGGGGCAGCCCCTGCCCCGCGGGACACGGCGCGGAGGGCTCTGGGGGTGCCGTCATGCCCAACAAGAAGAAGTACAACGTGAACGGAGATTCGGGGCTTAAAGCCCAGGTGAGGGCAGTCTTTAGTACCGTAATATCATTATTCTATTTAAAACTACATTTGTTTCTCTCTACCCACGTTTTTTTTTGGTTTGTTTTTTTTTCCCCTCTTTTCCTTGCTGTTCCCCCCAGTCACTTATTTCCGGAGCTGAGTGCATCCCCCTCTGCTTAGAAAAAAATCCCAGTCTCCGTGGGACTTCTCTTCATTTTCTCTCGGGAGCAGGAGGTTTGAAATGATGAAGCATTGAGCCAAACACCTTGCTCTGGGGTTGTTCTTCCGAGTCGATGGGTTGGCAAGCAGGGAGGTTGCCCAGGGAAAACTCAGATGCTGAGGGTTCCATTGCTCAGGGAAGTAGCGTAGAGTGGCTCTTCGTGGTAGAAACCCCAGGTCGAAGTGAGACGCAGCCCATTTGAAATGGAATGAGCACGCACCTGCATTTAGAAGTCATTAACCCCTTGGTACCTCTGGAGGTGCAGTTTTTCAGCTTGAATTGTGTTTTTCCGGCTGGAGGCTGAAAGCCAGCGGCGTTCACGTAGCTGCACAGCGGGTTGGACTCCAAATCCAAGCAGCTGCAGCTCTCAGAGGCTTCACAGCCTCTTCTTTGAGCTTTACCCTGTGCGGAGTTGGCTGTTACCTTCACCACGGAGCCAAATCGCTGTTCTCGTGCCCATCCTTCCAGCTAGGCTGGAACACGGCCTGTCGTTGTGCCCTTCAGTAGGGATTTAAACCGGAGTTTCGGTCTGGGTAGGCAAGGTCTGGTTTTCTCCTTCGGGCTGGATCGAGTGTGCGTTGCTGAGATTTCAACTCGAAAATGAAGACGTGTTGTGGAAACGGGCATATTCCTGCCGGCGCTTTGTTCCCTTCACGTGTCCATGCGATACAGAATCTACCACTGCAGGAGGGTGGATACAATAAATGTCTCGAATAAATCAAATTCCGGCATCTTTTCTCGCCCACTTTCTCTGTTGCTCGAAGGATAAAGCCAAAAGACGTCGGTGAAGTCTCAACGCTCGCTGAACACAGAGCTGAGCCTTGACCTGGCCCCTTCCCGACGTTCTCCTCCCCTGATGCTTCCTTCCACCTCCTGGCAGTCAGTGCCTTGTTCAGCTAAAGCTAAGCCCGGCTTATGGCAGGGTTTAAAGGGTTTAAACCCCTTAAAGGGATTGAGGGCAGGGTGTATTATGAAGTCCAGTTCTAGTTCTACCTCATTTGGTTCATGACTTATTTTGCTTTTCGACATGTACTTGACTATCAGTGTTGGATGTGGAAGTACTTCGAGAGCTCTAAATGCAATTATCGATATTATTGTGTCGTTTGAAAGAGTTGTATTGAAAGTCCTTGAAGAGATGATGTGGGAAAGGAAAATGTTAGTTATAATACGAATTATTCACCCGTTGTTAGACTTCCAGCCTACCTCACTTTGCCGAGAGCATCATTTCACACAAATAACCTGATGCTTTGATGAAGCTGCTCAGCTGTTGAGGGATTTGTTTTAAACGAAAAAAAAAAAGAAAAAAAAGAAAAAAGTCAGTTATTTCAGGCCAACAGCTTCTTAGAAAAGGAATATGAAAACTGGCATATGTGCACAAAGACCCCGTCCCACCGGGATCAGAGGTGTTAATCCGCAGCGCAACTCTTGACTGTAATATGAGTTCGACGTGGATTTTTTTTCTCCTCTGTGTGTTTCCTGATCTGATGTGGTTCTGTTGTTTGGTTTAAGATTAGCAGAAAAATAATAATTAAAAAAAAAAAAGAGCTCACAGGTGCTGCTGCAAATCCTCTCCCAGGTCCTTTCCCTCCTGCCCAGCAGCTTGGGCTGGCTGTCCCAGGGCCAGCTCAGACTTGGGTTCACGGGGGACTCTGAATTAGCCACCTGAGACCCCCATCACCTTTTTCCTTAATTATTGGCCCAAAAATCAGGGTATCAGCCCTGTAGCATCACCAGCCCGTCTCAAGTGCAATGTCAGGTGCCTCTGCTTCAACCACTGAGCTTGAATTTGAGTTCCCAGAACCGGGATCAAATTCCTTCTGGTTAGATGACTTCTTTAAACAAAACGAAGGACTCCAAATACCCTAAGGGTTAGTTAATAGCCTCAATTAATGGCTTTCAGTATTTTGGAGATGTAAATATTTAACCCCGTAGTACCAGACTAAGTCAGTTTATGCTCGTAGCAAAGTCCAAGGATCTTTGCAAGTGGAAGTTGTGTTTCCAGTTTCCCTGAGATCGTGAACATAGTGGGACCGTCAAGGCTTGTCTTACAAAGCGATGAGCATTGGGAGGTAAAATATTTCCTAAAACTATAAACCTGCTCTGAACGCTTAAATATGGCCCGGTAGCCACATATAAAGAGAATTAAAAGGGTTGCGGAGCTGCTGGTGTGGTTTCGAGATGCGCCATGTCCCTTGGGCAAGGCAGGTGGGCTCCGAGCCGTTTTAGTGTCTGTTGAAATGTGTCTGATGCTCGTGAAGCCTTCTGGGGTCGCGAGCTGAAGGTCGGTGCTGCTGCGAGCAGGGAGGTGTTCAGTTCAACCCGAGGTGCCCCTCAGCGGGGCACGGAAGGGATGAGCTGCTGCTGTAAAAACCCACCAAGAATCATCTGTGACAGCAGATGTTTGGTTTATGTGAAAACCTGGATTTGGGGAGTTTATAGTAAGGAAATAGTAAGTAGTGAGTATTTGGCCTTCTGTCTGTTCTTTTAACCAAGGGCAGGAGTAAAACGGAGCTTGGAGAAAAGAGGTTCTTCTATAAAGACCAATGTTAAATGCTGTTTTCTCCTTAAAAGCGCGGAGATAAAAGTGACAGTTCTTTACTTATCCCTTCTGTCCTCCGCATGCTTTGGGAGCAGATCGGCTCTGCTGACTTAAAATAAATCTTTCGGCGTGGCAGTTATCGCTGCCGTACCGCAGGCTCAGCTGCTCGCAGACCCACCGGGGGTCCTGGGGCTTTGCAGATGTGGCCGGAGACTCTGAAATCTTCATTCCTTGGTGATGACTGAAATGGAAACGGGCTTGATTCTTCACCTCGGGTTGAGCTGGTTGTTATTTGTCCTCCACAACAATTCGTTGCCGTGAGATGAGCTCCATTAAAACAGAGGGTAGATGCAGAATGCCACAAAATATTGGTGTAACATCCGCTGCTGGGGCGGTGTTGTGGGTGTTGCTGGTAAATGGTAACTGGTTCCTTCTCTGCAACTTGATTAATTCCTTTGGCCGATCTGCACAGCGCTCCCTTTACGTGCCTTATCCCTCATTTCTTGATTTGTATCACCTCTGAAAAACAATCCTGGTAAATACTTGTGTTGTCCAGGTGTCCGTGCTCCCAACAGTCAGAGCACCTTTGAGTGATGCATCTCATCTCAGACATTCCTTAATATAGAGCGCAGCTGGAAGCAGTATTTGTTACTTGAAGTGGTTTTATTTTTACCTTTTGTATTTCGTACAGCAAATAGGGAACACCTCACACCACAGTAATGTTGTAAGACAGGTCGGTGTCCGCATCAGCTCTGCAAATGTTGGGTGGCCCTAACGGGGCTTCTCTTGCAACGAATAAAAAAAATGAGTTTGCGTGTAACGGGGACAGAAATTTATAATTTGTGTGGTTAAAAGAACAGTGTCAAGGTATTTGAAAGACGAGTGTGTTGATGCTGCGTCTGGTGAAGAGTGTAAATTAAACAAAGTGGGCAGTTCAGCCTATCCAATGAAATAATAGGAATTGCAGTGTAGCCCGTGACTGAGATGGTGTCAGTGTCTGCTCAAGGCTTTGGTTTCTTGGGATTGATCGCCTGTATCAAACCGTTGGGTTTTTACATCTGTCTGAACTATGAATTCCTTTTTAACAGATCCAGTTTGCTGACCAAAAGCAAGAGTTCAACAAGCGCCCGACGAAGATTGGCCGCCGTTCGCTTTCCCGCTCCATCTCGCAGTCCTCGACAGACAGCTACAGCTCAGGTGGGTGCTGCAGCGGCACCAAGAGCCCCCCTGCAGACCCGTGGCTTTGTCCCGGGTTTTGCGCAGGGATCTCCCAGATCTCCTGTGCAGTCGGTAGTGTCGGAGGGAAGGTGTGGAGAGAGGGTTCTTCCTTTTTTTCTCATCTTCATGTATAGTTGGACAGAAAATTAAGTTACTCTGATGCTCTTAACACTTCCGATCCCTCCTTGCAACTCCCATGTGCAGTTGCTGTTGGCTTTCCTACTGTCATCCCCTTCCTCTTTCTTTCAGGCTCAGAAAACCAGTGTTTCCATTGTGTTCGTGCTTGCATGTCATATTCTGGTCCTGTCCTTGAGTAAACCCACATGGGGACAACCTGGGCGAGCCACCACCCCTGCAGTGGCTGCGTTCCCACGCAAAGGGCCTTTAGGAGAAATTAGAGTCACAGAATCACCTGAGTTGGAAAAGCCCTTGAAGATCATCTAGTCCAAGCATTAACCTCCCCCTGACCGTTCCCAACTCCCCCAGATCCCTCAGCGCTGGCTCAGCCCGACTCTTCAACCCCTCCAGGGATCCCGGGGACTCCCTCCTGCCCTGGGCAGCCCATTCCAACGCCCAACAGCCCCTTCTGCACAGAAATCCTTCCTCAGAGCCAGCCTGACCCTGCCCTGGGCAGCTTGAGGCCATTCCCTCGGGGCCTGGCGCTGGCTCCTTGGCTCCAGAGACTCATCCCCCCTCTCTGCCCCCTCCTGGCAGGGAGTTGCCGAGGGCCAGGAGGTCTCCCCTCAGCCTCCTCTTCTCCAGACTGAACCCCCCCAGTTCCCCCAGCCGCTCCCCAGCAGACCTGTGCTCCAGACCCTGCCCCAGCTCCGTTGCCCTTCTCTGGCCACGCTCGAGTCATTCAATGGCCTTTTTGGGGTGAGGGGCCCAACACTGAACCCACTCAGCGAGGGGCGGCCTCACCAGTGCCCAGCCCAGGGCTCAGATCCCTTCCCTGTCCCTGCTGGCCACGCCAGTGCTGACACCAGCCAGGATGCCGTTGCCCTCCTTGGCCCCCTGGGCACACTCTGGCTCCTGCTCAGGCAGGACGTGGATGCCGTGTCCTCTCCAGAGAGGCATCAGTCCAGGCTCCGTTTGCACTTTGTAAGCCACCTGGATTATGTTTGTTACATTATCGTCTCGGGGAGCATGTTTTAAGCTGGCACTAACGTTTAGACTTCTCTAATACAGGTCTGTGATTAATACAGCACTTGTGCAGGTTTTCCAGCTCCATCTGATACCTAATCAGCAGGGTATAATTTATGACTGTCAGTTTTGAAGACTAATAGGCTGATTAGCCTGGCTAATGTCATCATGTTCGCTCCCGATTCAAAGCTGAAAGAACTTGGAGCAACTTTGGGGAATTCCCCTCCACCCCTTGCACTTAGCATCTCCTGCTAAAGCATCAGCAATTGCAATTAATTACTTTGTGAAAGTATTATATTTCCCTCCTAATGAAAGCTGCTAGGCTGGCAGTCAAGAAGGAAGACTTGTGTTCCCAGAGCAGTTGCAGGATGGTGGATAAATCCCATTAGTAGCTCTCGGCGTGGATCTTTGTCATTCTCCTTTTAGGGCTGAGCAGTAGCACAGTCTGAAGAGCCCATTAAGCCCTCCTGGGGTGGGAGAAGCCTGCAGAAGAAGCAGAACGAGGAGCAGAGAGTTGATAATGGAGGGGAAGAATTGTAGAATCATTTAGGTTGGAAAAGACCTTTAAGATCATCGAGTCCGACCATAAGCCAAACACTGCCAAGCCCAGCACTAACCCACGTCCCCAAGTGCCACGTCTACATGTCTTTTAAATACCTCCAGGTTTGGTGGCTCCACCTCTTCCCAGGACAGCCCCTTCCAGCACTTCACAACCCTTTTGGGGAAGAAATTTTTTCTAATATCCGATCTGAACCTTCCCTGGTGCAGCTTGAGGCCATTCCCTCGGGGCCTGGCGCTGGCTCCTTGGCTCCAGAGACTCATCCCCCCTCTCTGCCCCCTCCTGGCAGGGAGTTGCCGAGGGCCAGGAGGTCTCCCCTCAGCCTCCTCTGCTCCAGACTGAACCCCCCCAGTTCCCCCAGCCGCTCCCCAGCAGACCTGTGCTCCAGACCCTGCCCCAGCTCCGTTGCCCTTCTCTGCCCACGTAAGAGGTGTGTGGAGGTCCCCAGGTTTGGAGGTGGTGGGCACCATTGAAGAAGTGAGTGAAACCCAAGCGACTCTTCCTCACGGCGTTGGTGGTGGGAAGGCAGGCGCCCCAGGAGCTCTGCCCATAATGATGGGAGGTGCCGGTGCCATTTTAGTGCCACGGGGTTGTGGAAGCAGCATCTCTGCAAACAGCCGGTGGTTTCTTGCTCTTCTTGCCCATCAAAACTGGAAAAGTTCAGTCAAAATCATCAGCTGGTCTCCAAACTATGTACAGAGTCGTGATGTGGAGCAGCCTGCACTGAGATGCGATGTGCTGTGAACTGGGCTTTGCTGGAAGCAATAATGGGAAAAACGAGGGGGGTGAGGCCCTGGCACAGGCTGCCCAGAGAAGCTGTGGCTGCCCCCTCCCTGGAAGGGTTCAAGGCCAGGTTGGACGGGGCTTTGGGCAACCTGGGCTGGTGGAAGGTGGCCCTGCCCGGGGCAGGGGTGTGGGACTGGATGGGCTTTAAGGTCCCTCCCAACCCAAAGCATCCTGTGATTCTGTTGTTAAAAACCAGCCACAACTGTTGAACTTTGGTTGCTGGAAAGTACGAAGAACAAAAATCCTGACGATCCGTTCTGCTCTGGCTCTTCAAATTAGACATTAGTCTCATCCGTATTCACCAGAAGCCACCAGTTTTCTGTAGCTGTTCCACTTCATTTAAAAGGAGTAATTTTTCTCACCGGGAAAATGACTTGTGTTCTGCACCGTTTGGGGGTGGTTTATCCGCCCAAGCACACGCCATGGTGTTTAACAGCATCGGCTCTGGCAAACCAGGGCAAGGCACCAACCCGACAGCTCAGCTTCAGAGTCGAGGGGGATGTTTCGGCGTTGTGCTGGGCAAACCACTTTACATTTCAGGAACTGTTCTTTCCCTGTCTGCAAAACTCAAATAATGGTTACCTGCCCCAACAAAGATTTTTGGGCATCGGCTGATTTATCTCAGCCCGGCGCGTTGAATACTAAAGCGCTCAGAGTTGTGTATTACACACCCCATACGCGTTCCGTGGGTGCTGAAGTGAGATTAGAACAGTAATATCTTTAATTAAAGGCGATTGACTTGATCCTCATGCTGTTTCATAACTAGCAAAAAGATTGTACAGAAAAGAAACAAGCTTTGTCCTTTTAGCTGGGCTGTAACAGCGCCAGGTTGCCCCTTTTTTGCCCTTAGTGATGCCAGTACTACAGATGTGAGCGGATCCTCATCTAAAATATTAGCAAAGCTAAATTTTGCTGAATTTAGGCTCCGACCCGGTCTTTGCTGGGTTAGGACATGGGCCGCAGGTGTCTCGTTTTCCCCCAATTTTCCCACTGGATAACAGCGCCTGAAACCTGCTGCTATTTTCGTGTGGTTCTCTGAGATAATAAAATTTATATTAAAATGATACGCGGCTCTACGGAATGCCAACCCCAGTTAGGAAGCTTTCATTAATCAACTTTAGGGTGATTTGAGATGATATTTAGGAGATCGTCTGTCCCATCAGTTAACTGGATATTTCTAGATTACAGGTACTTGGAATCTTTTTCTTTCTGTGCTTGCTTTTCATTTTACAGGAAAGCAAGGGCAAAATTTATTATTATATATTAGTACGCTCTTATACTACACTAACAATATTAGTTTAATTACCATGGTGCTGTATGCACTGCTCTATATTATACGTATGTAACAGTAAAGAACCATCTGCATACAAAAATCTGGCTACCATCTAGGTGGGGCTTTTTGTTTAAAAAAATTTCTCTCAGCTCCCAGAACCAAGATCTATGGTTTTAAAGAAACCTCTGCGAAGATTAGTTGTCTTCAAGGAAATAATCCTCCTTTAACTAACTAATTCTTCCTTTGGGAGTCCTTGATACACAAGAGCTTGGTATTATATAAGGTGTTCTTCCGTGATTAAGCCAGGCTCCTGGTCCTTCAAGAGCTGCTGCAGGATTGTGAACACAAATTCAGAAATTTATTGCCATCAGCGTGTTGTTTGCAGGGCCGGACTTGCCTTTCACACCCTGCTGAGGATGGAGCCTTTGCAGAGAAATTTCAGCAATGCATAATTCTCCTCCGTAAGCGGATTAAGACCCGAGCGGGTCTCGGGGAGCCTGGCACACCGACAGCGGCAAGCAATAAGCTTTTTTTCCTTGGGATCATTCAAGCGCTTCATGAAAGCCAGAAGAGAAAGTAATCAGCTTGCTGGGTGCTGCAGGATGGGCAAACCCATGGCCATGCTGGGGGCGAAGGGTTTCACTCCTTGGTTTGGGTTTTGTGGCGTGAAAATGCTCATAGAGCCGTTCAAGTGCTGGATAGAGGGTGGTTAGCCTTTACTCCGGGTTCTTGGAAAGGGCTTTTCGGTGTCAATCTTCACTTGAGGTCACGATGCCTCTGGAAAGCTGCAGCTTTTTGGGAGCACTGGTGGGTGGTGATAAGATCATGGGTTCAACACAGTTCTTCCAGTGACACTGTGTAAGAAACCCTCACCCTTCCCGCTACCTGATTCCTCTGGCACAGAATTGGGGTCGAAAGTTGGGAATCTGTACTGATTGTTGGGTAGAACAACGCCCTTGGGTGTTTGGTGTGGATGGTTCCCTCTTGGAGACTGTGCCTGGGAGAGAAGATCGCTCACGTGCTCAACACATCACTCAACGCCCGTAGCTGTTGAGTTTGACTATGCAATGTTTCCTAGCTAAATATTCAACCAGTTGTTTTCTGGTGTGGAAGGAAGGGAGCTCATCGTCAAGGCAGCAAAGACCTCTCTTTCTCAAAGAACTCTCACAACAGCTCATCATCATATGCGATGCCCTCCCACATGCCCGTCATTCCTGAGCGATGCACAGTATTGGCCGACTTCACCGAGGCTGTCATGGAAGGTGCTGTTCTACGATGGTGGTCCTCTTCTGCTCTAAGAAATAATTTGATGTCAGGTCTTGGGCTCACTTTAGAAGAACCACATGGTCTGGAGAGTAAAGACTTGGAGAAAAACATGAGGGCGCTTTCGTGAGGACCATGTGGATGAGACTTTTGAGTTGGGTCCCAAGGTGTGGCTCCTGCCAGAGACGAGGAGGAGGACATGGTGGTGGTGAGGAGCTCAGCTGGGTGAAGGGGCTCGTTCCAGGTGTGTTATCTCCAGAAAGGAAAGAAGAGTGATGCTTTCTAGTCCATCTCTAAGCCTTATGTCTTGCTTTGACTGCTGATGCCAGTCCTAGAAGATGAAAGAGGTCCGGTCTCCCACATAGGGGCCTGTTCCAGAGGAAAACACGGCACGAATGGTCTTTTCACCTGATCAGGATAAAATGGAAACAGAAGTGGTGGCTAATTCTTCTCATCTTGAATCAAAAACGAACCCTACATGTGATTTTAGTAATCCAAGGGAGTGGGAAGGGGGATTTCTAACTCCGTGAAGGGCTCTTTGGTAAATCTCCCTGTGTCATCTGCCATAAACTAGTTGCCTGTCCCAAAGTTTGGAGAACACTGATAGGAAAGGGAGACAGTTATTGACAGCAGCTGTAATTCTGCGTTCACATGCACGTCCCTGCCCGTTATCATCTGAAACAAGAAGTGTGATCTGATTCTGCCGTAGGTTTGTGTCCCCTCTAGGCGCCTTACTACAGAGAGAAGTGCTGCCATCTTTCTTCCTCTTATCGAAAGAGCAAGAGGGAGGGGGGGTTAAAAAAAAAATCCAGAAAACCAGAAGATGAAATATGTGTCCAATTGTTGGTCATTTTTAATAGAAAAGAAAGGGAGAATCCAGGGGCTGGATTGAGCTGTCTGTAAATGTACAGAGGTGTTGGTTGGGAGGAACCACCAAGGTCATCTCGCCCCCCTGCCCGCTCAGAGCACGACATCGCCTGCACAGAGCGAGGTGAGCCGTGGTGCTCGAACCAAGTCCCTAAGTCCTCCAAGGATGGCTCCATGTCCCAGTGGAGAGCGGTGACGAGTGGTGTCCTCAGGGGTCGGGGTTGGGACCGGCGCTGTTGAACGTCTTTGCTGGGGACATGGACAGTGAGATCGAGGCACCCTCAGCGAGTCCCCTGATGGCACCGAGCTGTGTGCTGTGGTGACACGCTGAGGGAAGGATCCATCCAGAGGGACCTGGACAGGCTGGAGAGGGGGGACGGGCAAACCTCAGGGAGTTCAACAAGGCCAAGGGCAAGGTCCTGCCCAGGGGTCGGGGCAATCCCCAGCACAAACTCAGGCTGGGCGAGGAGGGGATGGAGAGCAGCCCCCAGGAGAAGGACTTGGGGGGTTGGGGGGTGGAAAACTGCCTGTGAGCCACCAATGTGTGCTGGCAGCCCAGAAAGGCCCCGTGTGCTGGGCTGCACCCAGAGCAGGGTGGGGAAAGACTCTTGATCAGGGGGGAGGGATAGGATGAAGGGGAACGGGGTTAAATGGACAGAGGGGAGATTTAGATGAGACCTAAGGCAGAAATTGTTCCCTGTGAGGGGGGTGAGGCCCTGGCACAGGCTGCCCAGAGAAGCTGTGGCTGTCCCCTCCCTGGAAGGGTTCAAGGCCAGGCTGGACGGGGCTTTGGGCAACCTGGGCTGGTGGAAGGTGGCCCTGCCCGGGGCAGGGGGTTGGAACTAGGTCAATCTTTAAGGTCCCTCTCAACCCAAACCATCCTGTGACTCTGAGATGGTGAAGAGCTGTCACCTCCTCTCCTGGTAACCTGTGCCAGTGTTGCATTTTCCTCCCAGTGCAGAAGTTTCTTCCCACCATCCCGGGTGAGCCTCCCAAGCAGCAGGTTGTGGCCACTGCCCTTATTGAGGAATGCTGAAACTGGGGAAATCCAAGCACTGGGAATGCCACCATCACTGAATCGTTCACTAGCAGCCTTCTCCACGCCACTGTTCAAATGAAATAGGGTCTTGTATCTACCCTGTCTTAAATTACAACTCCTAACGCTTTGGGAGTACTCAAAGTATTAATAGGCACTTTTGTTGTCTACCTCAGAGCTGTAGAGGCTTAAATCCTGTGAGGAGCCAGGGAAGGAGCTGGGAGTGTTGAGTGTGAGGAGGAGGAGGCTGAGGGGAGCCCTCATCCCTCTCTGCAGCTCCTGACAGGACATTGCAGAGAGGCTGGGGCTGGGCTCTGCTCCCAGGGGATCAGGGACAGGACAAGAGGGAACGGCTGGAAACTGCCCCAGGGGAGGGTCAGGCTGGGCAGGAGGAGAAAATGTTTCCCAGCAAGAGTGGTGCGAGAGTGGAACAGGCTGCCCAGGGAGGGGGGAGTCCCCATCCCTGGGGGGGTTTCAGGGCCGTTGGGATGAGCTGTGGGGGATGTGGGGTAGGGGAGAACTTTGTAGAGTCGGGCTGAGGGTTGGACTCGGTGATCCCGGGGGGCTTTTCCAGCCTGAAGGATTCTAATATTTGGGAAGAGCGATGGGAGAAGGCCACAGGGGAGCTGCAGAGCATAAGATGAGCCTGTGGGGGACACGGGCAGTGCTCGAGCTAATCCCCTCCGGTGTGGTGGTGCAGTAGAGGTAGGTAAGGGTGAGGGGGTCGCTGCAGGTAAGAGCTGACTGTGGGGAAATCAGTGGTCGTTGTCAGGAGGAGAGGAGGTCCCAGCTGAGGATGGAAGGAGTTGGCACGTGCCTGTGGAGAAGCACATCCAGCAGGTATCTGCGCCCTGCCACTGCAGGTGGTTTGGCTTTAGGGAACATTTTTGTTCTGTCTCTGACCTCCTTTTCTTCCTCCAGCTGCCTCCTACACAGACAGCTCTGATGATGAGACCTCCCCCCGAGACAAGCAGCAGAAGAACTCCAAAGGCAGCAGTGATTTCTGCGTGAAAAACATAAAGCAGGCAGAATTTGGGCGCCGGGAGATTGAAATTGCTGAACAAGGTAAATGGGGCACGTTCTTCAAGCTCCACATTGTGCTCTGCTGTCTTGTGGGGTTCTTCCTTCCCCTGAATCCTCTTCTTGTGAGGGTCAGTATATTGGTGATTTCCTGACACCGTTCCCATTAAAGATGGGAAAACTTTTCTGGGATGTTGTGGGGTGGAAAGGAGTTAGAGGGTTACATGCCGTGTAGCTCCAACCAACCAACTGCTGAAGAACTACTCTGTGGTCAAATCCATTTTGTTAAAATCGGTAGAAAGGGTGAAATTAATCAAATAAATTAGACAATTTTGCATGCTTGTCTCCAAAAATCTATAGCAAAGGCCGTGCAGCCTTCAGGTAGCTGGAGGGAACTTGGAGAGGCTCCTCAGAGCAGCAAGTCCCGAGCCCTCCTCAGTCCGGAGCAGATTTTCTCTACCCTCACTTGAGCATTCACAGGTAAAAATTTGAAAATGTGATGATGCTCCATCTGTAGGGAAAAACCACAGAGGGCTGTTGGGTCCCTTTCAGCTGTGCCGTGACTTACTGGATGCTGCTCTCAAGGCTTTAGCTCGTTCTGAAGCTTGCCCCAGGTGCAGGAATTGATAGGAATACCGGATAGCAGGGCAAGAAGCGATGCCGGCTGCTTTTTCTGTGCTCATCCCTCTTTCCATCACGTTGATGGATCTGCGGTTTGTTATTTTGCCTTTCAGAAATGCCTGCGCTGATGGCTTTGAGGAAGAGAGCTCAGGGAGAGAAGCCACTGGCTGGGGCCAAGATCGTGGGCTGCACGCACATTACGGCGCAGACGGCTGTGAGACCCCCTCCACAAACTCCAGACAGGGATTTTCCCCTGCTCACCCCCTAAAACACACCCCAAGCACTTAATGTAGAGATGGGAGTCTCTAAGTCCAGCCCCAAGTAAAAAGAGAACGGTGGATTTTGTGAACGTTTCTAAGATAAACAGAGCCTGTGCTTAAGGATGATGCGACACACGCGTTCACGAGGCATTGCTTGAGTAGCGAGAGCCGAGGGAACTGAAGTACCTGTGTCCTGTAAGCAGGGAGAAGTGGTCACTCGTCACTTAACGCGATTCAAGAGCTGTGGCTTCTCCTCCAATCACGGGACGGGAGTGCTTTCTCCTGACTAGATTTGGGCCTTTGCTGAGTGAAATCTGCATATATACATATTTATATACGCCCACGCACACATATATGCTGCATATAAAATACACTTTGAAGTTCTTTCGTACTTCATCCATTTAAAATTGTAGGGAAAAAAAAAAAAAGCAATCACAAAATTTACTCTCTGTGCAACTCTCTAAGGACCCTGGTGCTGTTTAAACCCAACTTCAGGCGCCCCCCAGAAGCTTCCCCACAAATAGTGAATGAAAATCCCGGTTGTGTATCGCTCTTTGCGTCGTATATTGCTCTTTGTGTTGGTCTTTCTGATTTTTTGTTTGTTTGTTTGTTTTTTCTTTAAATCCAGGTCCTAATGGAGACTCTGGGTGCGTTGGGTGCTCAGTGCCGATGGGCTGCGTGCAACATCTACTCTACTCTCAATGAAGTGGCTGCTGCCCTTGCTGAGAGCGGTAGGAAACTTCGCCCTCTTTGTTTTTTTCTGGTTTTAAAAAGTTTTCTTACTGCCCCATCGTATTTAGCTCATTTACCATCTCTTACGGGTTGTTTTTTTTTTTCCCTTCATTCTCTTCGATTTCAAATAAACCTATAGGAGGTAAACAGCACAACATCAATCCCTTCCACTGCTCTGAAAATCCTGGAATAGTTTTTCTCTGGAGTGTAAAAACCCGTAGTACGAAACGATGGTGATGCACATTAGTAGCTGAGTGGGCTGTGTAAACCTGAAAATTATTTTGCTAAAAGAAACTAAGCTAAATTTGATTTCGGTTCTATAAATTTGAGTCATAACTTTGGCTAAAAGGGGTGAAAGGGAGGATTTGGGGGGGGACATAACTCACAAAACAGAAGCTGTCCGTGTTGCTGCTCAACTGGGAGGTGCCTTAATTCAAATCCTGTTTTTCCTGGGTAAGGATTTTACCGTGAGAGCTGCGAGACCCAGAAGGAGCCAAACTCACTGACTTGCCTGTTACCCAGTCTTGCTCATTGAAGCTTAATAATAATTGCTTATAAATCAGAATATATTCAAATTTGGTGGCTAACGTGCCTGGCAGGAAGGTAGGACATCTAGCTTGCAGCAAAAGCTCAATTTTGCCAATAAATGTTATCGTTGAGAGCGTGCTGCCCTCTCATCTGGTGGCTTTTTCTTGGTGGAGAGGAAGAAATGAGGCTAAAACTCACTCCTGTCTGCTGCCTTCGGTGTGTGTCTTCAATGTTTGTCTCTGAAGCTTCTTCTAGGAGGTAGATGTTGAAAGATTAGACCGCGGGCAAGCCCGCAGTGGTGCCGGGCGCCCGGTGGATCACGCGTGGACGTAGGGAGAGCCGATCCCCGAGGGGTTCGCTGAGGGATTTCTGTGTTAGCACCCGTCTCCCTCTCTCTGTGCCAGGGTTCCCCGTCTTCGCCTGGAAGGGAGAATCTGAAGACGACTTCTGGTGGTGCATCGATCGCTGCGTCAACGTCGAAGGGTGGCAGCCCAACATGGTGAGCCGGGGCCGACCGTAACGTGCTGGGCGTGTGTTGGAGCGTGGGTAGCTCTCCTCTGAGGAGAAGGAGGAGAGTTTAGTGCTGGACTTTGTTTTCCTCCTGAATTTAGACCGACCTTAGCAGTTAAGCCTTGGTGCTAACACAGCGTTGACCTGCAGAGGGCTTTAGAATTGACTACACAGTGAGGGAAATGAACTTCTCTCAGTCTCACAGGTGTGAAGTCAGGGAGAAGGTGGGTTAAACAACTTCCACATGGGGATCCTGCCTCCCGAGCAAGGTTTTTGTGAAAGTAATTTTTAAATAAGCGTAGCTGTGTGAATGCAAAATTTATTGGGTGCCTAGTTGGCTTCCAGGGTAGCTTGCTCCAGTTTAAACCAAACTCATTTAATCTAGCCAGTAAAAAATGACTCAAAACCAGCCTGTTCTGAAAAGAGATTGCATCCATTTTGCCACAGTCGATTAAATTCCCACCTCTGGTTGATGTGATTTTCCCTATCTACGCAAGGCTTCTGTTTCAGAACAAAAATTACATTTTTAGGTGATTTACTACGCTTTAAACCTGCTCTTGCTGTACGCACGCGGAACCTTGGGTAGCCCAACTCCATACTTGGCTGCTTTATTCTGCCCTTGTTTCTAGGGAAAACCGAGAACCCTAAACTAGGTGAGCGGAATAATTTGCAGCTGTCAGATGTGCTGTTTTCATCCTGCTTCCCGACAGGTTTTGAGCCCTGGAGCTTATGATCTAAATTAGATGCAAAGTAACGGAGGGTGGAAGGTAGGCGTGTATCTGTATTGTTTGTTTGCCGATATCAGCGTGTTTGAGGTGGGGTTTTTTGTCCCTTCCAGTCTACACCTGCTCACCTCCTTGCTGTCACCTTTAAAAAAGAATCATGAATGTCAAAAAAATCCACCCCCAAGCTACGAATCTGAGTCTAGACACGACAGCGGCTTTCTTCTTCTTTTTGAGGAATAATTTCCCATCAAAAATGTCAGTAATTGAAGAAATCGGCGTTCCAGAATATGCATATTATTCTTTCCCGGGATTTCTTCAGATCTCTCGATTCAGCGATGTGTCTCCAACCATCAGTGTGTTTACAGACCTGCTTCTGGAGCACAGAAATACTTGCCGGGGAGCCCCAAACACCTTGGATCTACCAATTCCCAAAGATTTGTGCACCGGATTTGGAAGGTTCGTTGTTTTAGAGATAAGAAATAGGACGCTGGACACTGGGTGAAGAACGGGATTGGAAAGGATCTTCTTTGAATGATTATTTCAGAAGAACTGGAAAACTCGGCCACAGGAGCGAGGTGAAATTTGCCTCTCCAGTCCGTCCAGCCTCAGGGCTGGAGTGAGATGGAGCTACTCTTCTCCCTGTGCTGGTGGCAACTTTTTAGAACATGCGTTGTATTTTTTTCTCTCCTGTTGAGACTGAGAATTTTTCCTCATATCCTGAATCAAGGAGATGCGTCCCCAGGTTGTAGGACTGAGCCAGAGCTGCTGCTCCTGGCAGCCCATGACCTCTGTAGAAACCCAAATCTATTCATATAATCACACAAGGGTTTGGGTTGGAAGGGACCTTAAAGATCACCCAGTTCCAACCCCCCTGCCACAGGCAGGGCCACCTTCCACTTCAGATTTCAAATGTTTTGGAAAAATGAAACATTCATTTTAATTTTTGAAGAAAAAACAAATGATCTTGACAAAATTTAAAATGTGTGGCAGATATTTCAGGAAAGGAGGAGTATTTTATCGATCACCTGAGTTCTTTGAAGAGCTCGTTCCTTAACAAGAATCCCCAAATTCAAGGGTTTCACAGAATCACAGGATGGTTTGGGTTGAAAGGACCTTAAAGCCCATCCAGTGCCACCCCCTGCCCCGGGCAGGGCCACCTTCCCCCAGCCCAGGTTGCCCAAAGCCAACCTGGCCTTGAACCCTGCCAGGGAGGGGGCAGCCACAGCTTCTCTGGGCAGCCTGTGCCAGGGCCTCACCCCCCTCACAGGGAAGAAATGTCTCTTGTCTTCTCTGCCCATCAGCAAAACACCAACGATACCTTTCAGCAGCGTTGATGATTATTAAGGACCGTAGGGGGCTTTGAAGACGTTCCGTGCAGCCCTACATGCCACGGTGTGATCTGATGGGAAATTCTCTCTGTGAAAAGTGATTTGGTAACGTGCCCAGCAAGAAATAATCCATTTGGATTCTTAACGTGTGGAGTAATTCAGAGCATAAGTATCCAACTCATTGGTCCATCCAACTTGTTGATCCCAGATGAAAGTAGCATGGAAAAGCATCTCCGTTTCCAGGCTTCTACATCTTGAAGCTCAATAAAGAGAAGTGCAATCTCGATTTCTACTTAAGAGAAAGCAAAAGGGGTCGAAGTAGTTCAGCAGCTTGCTGTAAGCCACGCTGACAATATCAGGGCTTGAAATTCTCCCCAGGAGTCCTGCTCCGAAGTGCTTCACTGGCCCTCGCCAGTCCGGTGTCCAGGTAGGCACCGCAAGGCCTGGTGGAGCTGATTGTGCAAATAAAATGTCCAAAAATCTGAATATTCAGTGTCAGGGCTTCTGTGTGGCGCTGCTCCCTGGGAACAGGTACCCACAAATACTGAGAGTCTACAAAAAAAAAAAAAACAAACCCACCTTGGGTTTTCTGATGGGAGTAACAGACCTTCAGAGGAGTGCTCTGTCTGCACAGGAATGGCTCAGAGGAGGGTTGGGGTTTTTTTTCTGAAAAACACTAAAGTCTGGGAGTTTGGTTTCCTTTGCAGCATAAACTGATGCAGGACCACGCTGCCGCTGGGGGATTTTGACGCCGCCTCCGACCGTGCCTTCCTGCCATCTCCTTGTGTTTTCGCCAGTCATATTCTGTCGGGAGTTATTTTCAACCATGTTGCTGAGCTAATCCTAGCTAATTTTAATCAGCTTGGTTTTGGCATGATCAACCGCATAGTGTCGGCTCTTGCCCCGACAGAGTTTGGAAGGGGAACAGGGTGAAACGTTTGTTGGCAGCAGGGTCTTAGATGGGTTTAAAAAGGTTGTAAAACGCCACCCTGAGACACCAGTTTCTTTCATGAAAGAGATTTTCTGCTGGAGAAAACGTGAAATGGAAGGAGTGAGGGAGTGAGAAGCCACAGACCTTCTGTGCAGGCAGCAATGCGAAATTGCTGACTTGGAGAGAAAAGCACTGAGAGAGAGAAACATCTACCAAGTGGATGTGGATGCACCAAATCAGTCAAAAATCATCAAAATTCCGGGTGAGTACTGCTGAGGAGGAGCAGGATTATCTCCTGGTGCTCAGGTCAGAGGATGGTCCCGTCTCCAAAGAGAGGAAAGTCCCCGCAGGCCTGGCGTGATGGGAAGATGTTTTTTACAACCCCAGCACGCTCTGCTCCGATCTGGAAGTGCCGAAATCAAGAGGGAGGTTGATGAAGTGCAGCCGGGAGCCTTGGTTTGCAGATCGTGCCTCTCAGTGGGCGTCAGGCAGCGGCGCCGAGAGGCAGAGCAGGGCTCGCGTCCCTAACGGCTCCTCTTCTGTACGAAAAATCCTTTGCTTGTCAAATAAAGGCTTTTTTCCCCCGACGGAAAGAAAAAAAAATCTGCCTGGAAAGAATTCAAATAAAGGCAGATAACCTGTGTAAAGGTGAAAAAACTGCAGCAACGTGGGGCACATACCCTGGGTTTTGCTGTTGGCTGTTTGGGGCGACCTTCCACCAAGATCTTGTCCCTCCGCTGACTTGGTTTGGGGTCTGTTGCATTTCCCGCCCTCCGAGGAAAGAGGAGACCGCCAACCCCCCGAATTCTCTCTCAGAAAGAAGATTACGTGCCCTATTAAATGGGGATTAAGGAAATGAAGACGTCCTGGGAGCCAGGCTGCTGAGTTCCTCCCTGGGCTGGCCCAGGAGAGCTGCTCAGCCCGATTTAACCCTTCCCTGTCCCCGCTTCCCGCCCCAGAACGCGCGAGGTGGATCTGGGGGTCCCTGGGGACTCGGGAGTTGGGTCTACGTGGGAGACGTGTGCTGGGCTCTGACATTTGTGGAGGAGCAGCTGCTACCCGCAGCCCTCACCGTCAGTGAAAACCCTGCAACTTAGAGAGAAAAAGGTTGTAGTAGCACGTAGCATTTCCAAGTAACTCTTGGCCCGCGGACGTCAGGGCGGTGGCTCGGTGAAGCCACCGCGCGGTGTCATGACAAAGCTCAGGAACGTCATCCTTGGGCCCACAATGGGGCTTTTTCTGCTGCAGGAACGTGGTGAGAGTGTTAATTTTTCCTGGGTGGCTGTAGGCACCGAGCTTCACCGCCAGCCAGCGAGCAGGGATGCTTCTGCCCAGGTTTGACGTTTGCTTTTGAGGCCACCAGTATGCCACACTAGTAGGTCACCAAGGGCTGGCTTGGCAGCCAGGAGTTGGTGTAGGGAACATGCAGGGAGGAAGAGGAGGAGGAGGAGGAGGAGGAGGATGCAGTCAGAGATCTTTGACATTGCTGTAGGGAATATGCAAAGTTGATAGTGACGACGCGGTCCAAAGTCTTTGATGTTGGTGTAGGGATTATGCAGAGAGGATGATCATGATGACAGCGAACGTGCAAAGAGGATGATGATGATGATGATTCAGTCAGAGCTCTTGAGCATTGGCATAGGGAACGTGCAAAGAGGAGGAGGAGGAGGAGGAGGATAACAATACAGGGCAATGTTCTTTCAGCCGGCCCAGCTAGCACAGGCCCTTGGCACTTCACCCACCGCTCGGTGAAATCTGCTCCCTGCTTTTCCTTAATTCTAACGGGGGTTGACACGCTTCCCACCTTCCTCAGGCACCACTTGGGCCCCCTGAGGCCACCTGGGTGGCAGGAGGACTCGGCAAAACGCAAGTGTTCGGGGTTTTTTTCTTTTGTCTCTTCTCTTCTTTCCCAGACGCCTCATTACGGTACCCATGTGGGTCCCTCTTTGAAGCTTTTAGAGCTCAGCACCCTCCTTGGAGTGTTGAGATCCAGCAGGGGATGACCCAAAGTGGTTGGGACTGGGGCCACGCTCATTACGAGGTGTGTAGGACACAAACGAGACTCCTAATGAACTCCATGGGCTGTCACTTAGCAGCGAGATTTTCTGTAATTATCAGAGGCTCTGTACTTAGGGAGAAAATAAGCCTTGGCTTAAAGTCTTTGATTATCCCGGCGACACTATAGCACGTCGCAAAAATACCCGAATAACATCAATCCGTGGAAGGTGTAGCTGGGTGTATGTGTTAGACTTTTAGCAGCTACAACCTTCACGTCCAAGGCCATCGCCAGGCGCGTTCCCATGCGCTGGAAAGCACACGTGCGTGTTCTCACTAGCAGGGAACAGACAAGCTCCCAGACAGCACTTTTCACTGCAATTTTTAGGTTTTTGCAGCCGGATGGTTTTCACGTCTGTCCTTTCCAAGGCGCTTTTTCAAAGGGCACCTTTACTTGCTCATCTTTAATGTTTTTGTTAAAGCAGTAGGTCTCTGGCTTTCTCTGCCGCCCTGAAGTGTGTCAGGAGGAGGAAATGGGCAGCTCGGGAGACTCGTGGTCTGATAAAGGACAGTTTTGTGCTTCTGAGACAGGTTCTCAGCCAGGTGAAACGGGCAGAGACCCAAAGCTGCTGTCTCAAAGAGGTTTGGGATTTTTAACACGCAGTGGTTTATGATGTGGTTACGTTATGACTGGCATTAGTAGCTCTGCGCCCTCCTCCTCCATCTTCCTCCATCCTCTTCCTTCTCCATCTTCCTTCTCCTCCGTCCTCCTCCTCCTCCATCTTCCTCCATCCTCTTCCTTCTCCATCCTCCATCACCATCCTCTATTCTCCTCCTTCATCATCATCCTCCTCCATCTTTCTCCTTTTCCATCCTCCTCCATCCTTCTCCTCCTCCATCCTCTTCCTTCTCCATCCTTCTCCATCCTCCTCCTCCTCCTCCATCCTCCTCCATTAGCAGTCAGACCAGAAAAGCTGATGTCTCAGTACAGTTCAGAGGCTTTTCCATCTGTGCTTGTGGGAGATGAGGAGAAAGGAGCTCCCACAGCAATTTTCCACGTTTCCTCTGGTCTCACTATGAACACCAAGGTCCGCCACGTTCGCCTGACCCGCTACCTTTGCAGCACGGTGTCGGTGAAGCAGCGCTCCCCCTCTGACTACCAAGCAGCACAGTCTCACCCAAGCTGTCACGATGTGGTGTCGGAGGTGCCAAAACATGGACTCGGTTAGGAGTGATTTGAGCTTGTGACTTATCCCTTGTACCTTTTTGGGGTCAGCAGGCCTTACTGCATCTTCAGAGCGGTGACTGTGTGGTTGTTTTTATTGCAGATCTTGGATGACGGAGGAGATCTCACTCATTGGATTTACAAGAAATATCCCAACATGTTTAAGAAGATCAAGGGGATAGTAGAGGAAAGCGTGACTGGTGTCCACAGGTAACGGGTCTGTAACAGGCTGGTCCGTGAGCACGGAAAGGTTTGGACCAAAAAAGCATCTTCTGCCTCAGGGGACTGGTAGCAAAAGATCCCCAAGCTGTAAGATGCCACAGACTTGGCTGAATATTGAACCTCCTAATATATGGTCTGTGGGTTTTCTTCAGCTTAGGCTTGGCTTTTCCATAAGAGCTGTTTTAAATCTCTCATATAGTGAAAGCAATAGACTTGGAACCACTGCTCTGAATTTCAGACGAGGAGCAGAAGCACCTGCTGACCATTGCACAGGTGGAAAAACTACACAAGGTGTTGTGTTTCCGCCTGGGAAATAGGGGCAATGGTTGTCTGACCTCATTTTGCAGATAAAAAAAGAAAGAGCTGGGCTTTGGAGAAAGACACAAGCGTAGTCTTAAATGAAATCTGTGGGAAGAAGTGAGATTTGGGAAGAGAAAATTAGTCTCTAGTTGGAGCGGGAGTCCAGAAAGGAAGAATCACGGAGACGCAGGAGTATGACTGAGTGACATCTGTCAGTCGGAATTGTGACAGAGAAGGGGCTCCCAGGGTTAGGTGTCAGCGTTGCTCTTCCAGTGGCGTAAATCATAGCACGGGTGACAGAAAATAGGGGACTGAGGAGAAGAGCAGGAGGCTCTGCTCTTTTCTATATTCCTGCAGGGAGAAAGGCTTGGCTGCAGCTCTGGGAGCTGCCTGGGAGTTTGGCCAGAGGTGGGGGCAGCCCTGAACTGCTGGGGTTTAACCCCAACTTAAGGCTGACATAGGGGTGATTCCCCCAGCCCTTCCCAAAGGGGGGTGAGTTTCCCTTTAAGCTTCCCCCCAGGGTGGGGCCTTGCAGACAGAGCCATCAGGTAAAGAGCCCCAGGTGTCTGCATTGAGTAACCCAAGGTCAGGTGTCCACTGAGGGATAACAGCGGGGACCCCTGGCAGGAGGGGCAGGGTCTGTGTGTGAGGTGGGTGCCCTGTGCAGAGTTCCCTGTTGGGGAAGGACCTCCCGCCTCCCTGGGACTGGGCTCCAGGCAGGTCTGGCTTTTGTAAACATGGGATCTGTGGAGATTCAGTGTGTGGCTTCCTTGGTCTTTTATGCTAGGCCTAATAATTGACAAAACAAGCTCTCAGGACAGAGAAATTAAATGTTTGAAACGAGGAAGCGACCGATTCAGGTTTGCAGCCAGTGGGGTCAAGCAAAGGACCTGGTAATATTTTTAGCATCTAGAATCGTTCCTGATACGGACAGATGAGATGTGCAAAACCCAGAGCAATGTTTAAAACTGTTCCCCATGT